TTATATATTATTTATATTTATATTAATTGTTAGAAATTCAGTTTTTGAAATTCAGTTCTCGTTATTCGTGATTTAAACAAAGGCAAAATTTTTAAACGAGTTTATTAATTACTGAAAGGATTAAAAATGGATTATTAAAAAAGATGTTGATAGTGAGAAAATATAGCGCAAGTTTAGCGAGCACAGGGACAGACTTTATATGGGAGCGAGAATTCTCGTGTGTCTCACGATCTAACTCATATCTAACTTTAATATCTTGCAGATTTGGTTATCGGAACATACCATGGAACAAATGCCGGTAAGTCCCAAAAACAATTAATTTTATTATATGAACTTGCAATAAAATTTAAGCACAAATGTAAGAAAGATTATTTATTCAATATTAATTGTACATATATATTTTCTAATTAATTTTTATTGCAATTGATATATTTTATTAGTGTTACTAAGTTTTATTAAATATATATATATATATTTTTTTGTAATAAGAATCGAGAAAGAAAAAATTTTACATGATTCTGTGCGATTTTTTTTGACAAAAAATACATGTTAACTCAGTTTATTCGTTGAAAAAAGTTGCCAAATAGATACAATATATGTACATTTAAAATCAAAGAAAAATAGTATACGATTATGGGGATGCTTAGAGAAAATAAAATTTTCTATCTCCTACTGAACAGAATGAAATACAACGAAGTTATTAAATTCTTTTTCGGAAGAATGCGATAATATATAATTAAGCTAAACTTTTTTTTTTTTAGATGTGGTGCCCGCCCACTCCTCCTACAACGGATAATGATGTATATATTGATTACGCTATGAGCTTTCTTTATGAGGATACACCCATGACAGAGGCTCAGCTACCTCCAATCTATGTGAAGAAGGAACGGAATAGGAGCAGAATTGAAGCTAATCTCACCGACGATGGTGAGTCAATTTTACTCATAGATATTGTAGACATCGGGTATTATTTATTTTCTGGGAATGTATCGAAAAATGAAAAAAATTATCCTTGTTATTACACATTATAATAAACCTTTCTATCAGCATTAATCACCCATCTATCAGCATCTAAAAAAGCATGAAAATATAAACGAATCCAATGACAAAATGTAAATTTCAAGCACTAACTTGGTCAAAAATTTGTTGATTTATAAATCAACAAAAGTTGTAATTTAACTGTTAATTGCTTTTCTCGTAGGTTGCCGACCTGTCAAGATGATGCGGCATAAAGAGGAGTCTGTGTACGCGCCGAGATCCCTCTTCGATCGACCGTCACCGGCATTGATGAAGATGCGTCGCGATATGAAGCTGCACAAGTATCGCGCGATTGTACGCCCGCCGGTAACAGTGTTGAAGAACTCTTCGCACGTCACAAAGAGCTCGCCAGAACCAGATCATGCGATAGACTGGTTGATCTACGAAGAATGGAGTTTGCTACATTCCATCCAAAGCTATCAAGGCTTACCGTTGAACACGATAATCCTCTCGCCGGGTCATACGCCCAACTGGGACATGGTGGCCGACTGTATCAACAACGGCACCCGATTACATAGATCGCCCAAGCACTGCAGAGGCAGATATGAGTCTGTGATAATACCGAGGGAAGAGGGTAAGCTGCTGTACGATACTCCTCCGAAAAAGCAGAAGAAACAGAAGGGAAGCGTTTACAAAACACCGCAAGTCTCCGAGGTAAGTTAGGTTCACTCTAACACCGATGAATTCAATGATAAGGAAATGTCGTAATTGCAAAGCTGTAATCTTACAGAAAGTTTTTTTCTGTCTTTCCCATCCGAAAGTTTCTCATTTATCAATTACACGATAAAAGAATATTAAATAAAAACAAATTATATGGGACTATAACATAATCAACATCTTTTGTTTCACTTTTTTCAGCAACAGAGTAAGAGCAACAGACCGATGAGGACATCGCAATTGCACAATCAAGACAGGAACAATTCGTTTACACTAATGGGCACTCAGAGATATGAGACTATAAAATCTGTGTCTAATAAGCGAACACCTACCGTGAAACCGCCGTTGCTCGTGAATCCACTGTTGAGAAATCCTATCGCAACTGCCTTAGTCGAATGCGGGATACAGATTGATAATCCGATGGTGCCAGTGGACGTTGCTACGCGACGCGCAGATAGAATTGCTAAGGAGAAGATGAAGCACACGGTTAGTAATGTAAGATATATATAAAAATAATTTGCACTTTTCATATAAAAAAAATATACATATAACAATATATTCGATATTTTATTTTTTACGAATTTGTTGTTCAAATTCAAACCACATAGTATCAATATAATATAGTGTATCAAGAACAAAGAATTATAGAATTAATGTAATATTTGTTTTCTATTCGCTATACTAACCCGTCCAAGGAGATATTCGTTAATTAAATTCGTAGGTTTTTACTCCGGAACAGCAACAACAGGTTGCAGCGCGGCTTCTACAACATCAACAACAACAACAACAAGCCGCTCAACAGCAGCAGCAGCAGCAACTCAAGCTGCAGCAACAGCAGCAGACTCAACAACAACAGGCTGGACAACAAGTGGTCACGAACTCTGTTGGATCACAAATGCATCAACTATCCCAAGCAATTCCAAACGTGAACAACGCCGGCGCCATGACCAGCGCGAAGGCCGCCGCGAATTTAACCAATGTAGCAACGACTACGGTGGTCACTACGACGGTGAAGGCTCGACCTGGTGGAAGTGGGCAAGTAATCATACAGGACGCAAGAACAGCATCGGCGAACGCTGCGAGTTTGCAACAAGCTGCTCAACGACTCGCCACAGGCGGTTTGCCACCCACTGGTCAAGCTTCTGCTAACGCAGCGGGTGGTCAAAAGGCGGGTCTGGTGGGCGTCGCGATGGCCACAACGGGAAATAAGGCAACGGCGGCGCAGTTGCAGTATTACAGACAGCAACAAGTACTGCTGCGCCAACAACAACTCAACAAGGTGTTACAGACGCAAACTACTGGTGGTCAAAAGTTATCCGTTGCGATACCGACCACGGCAACGGCGGCAGTGCAACAGCAGCAGCAGCGGGCGGCGACAGCGGCCAATTTGATGAAGCAGGGTATTCCCACAGTGGGCACTGCGGCAGCGCAGACCGGTGTAACCAAACAAACAATAGCCAGGCCAGTGTCCGAGACGGAAATGGCGTTGATCAAACGGCAGGCGCTACATCAGGCGAAGACTGCGGCCGCGGCAGCTGGGCAAGTGAGTATCTTGCGATGCAAAAGACATCTTTTTTTAAATATAAATATTTAAGATAACAAAATTATAAATAATGTTTACTCGGCAAACAGTAAAAATATTTCATATTCTTAACTCATGAAAGTAATCGATTGTGATTTTGTTGCCGCAGATGCCTCCAACAGGACTCACACCGGCGCAGATCTTTGCCCAGGCCGGTCTACAGGTACAACAGATGGGTACTTCTGCGAGTGGTACTCCGGTGGCGACTCTCGTCAAAACAGCCAATGTGACAGGTGTTCGTACCGGGACGCCCCAACAGATTCGTCAGCTTGCGCTTCACCCACAGATTCTCGCTCAAAGAAAACTTGCAGGGCAGAAAGTCGCTGCGCAGCTCGGTAAGGGAGGTATGCAGACGCAATTGATCGTGCAATCGCCAAAATCGCTACCCGTATCAATGCAGCAGATCCAGCAGGTGATAAAGCAGGTGCAACCTCCAGCAGTACAACAATTTCCTCACGTACGTAAAATACAGGAATGAAAAACATTTTTTTTTTTTTTCAATATCTTTTCTCTTTTTAAATATTACGATACGGTACTATTGTCGCGAAAGAAAATTGTTGGTAAACTTGCTATTTTGCTGCTCTCGTCAGATCCTTCAAGTTTCTATTGTGAAAATTATTCGCTAGAGATAATACAGATTTTGATTATTATTAAAATCTGAGAAAAAGAGAAAAAAAATATTAAATATTTTTTACATTCTAGAGCAAAAATTATATTTCGGAACGAAATACATCCAAGCGAGATCATGAGACTGGTGAACGGATTAATTAAAATAATGCTACTTTATAATCACAGGTTTCGACGGGACAGACGGCGTCTCAAACTAATCCGATAGTACTGGCTAAGTCGCAGCTGCCGACCCGCGTGATACCAGTCGCATCCGGATCCTTGAAACAAACAATACAGGTGGTGACTGCTAATAACGCGCAGTTGCGGCAGGCTATGCCTATCCAAGGAAAACCGATTGCCAGTGCGGTAAGACGAAGTCCCGGTCCAGGTTCCAGCCCAGGCCCGAGTTCCGCCACTTCCAGCTCTACCGCGGGTGCGGGTGCTAGTCCTGGCGTAGGGGCCGCCTCTTCATCCGCCGTCCCAAGTCTAGCTTCTTCGCCCGGTCTTAGCCAAGTGAGATTGCAAACCATAACGCATTCGCAGCAAATGCAGAAACAGCAGCAGCAACAGTCTCAACAGGACACGCAACCAAAATAGCTTTATATCATAATCGGACGGCAATCCTTTAAATTGAATTGGGAAATTCAGAAAGTATATTGGCGTGTGTTTCGTATATATCAAGAAATTTTACAGATATTTGTGTTAAAGATATATCTAAGAATCTTTTTGCTTGGAATATACATAGAAAAAAATAATAAGGTATGAAATATTTTGCGATATTACGTGTGATTATTAACAAAAGAAAAATAGTAAATAGAAATTTAATATTAATTAAAAGTTCTAAATAAAATATTAGTATGCATATTTTTTTGGTTGATTGTCAATAGAGACGAATATTCAAATATGCTAAATCTATTATAGATAAAGGATGAAATATTAGTTTTCCAGGAGTAAAATATTTAAATAGTTTGGATTGATTATTGGTAAAAAAGAAAGATTTTAATTTATTAAGAATATAAAATACTAGATATTCTGATCGATTATTGAGAGATAGAAAATATATATATAAATGCTATTTTCTTTAAATAAATATTAATCTAGATATATATTAAGTTTCTGACTTTCTCGATTCAATTAAACATTGAACAGTTTCGTATTTCTTTTTTTCTTTCTTTTCAATGTTATAATAATTCTAATATAAATGGGAATATGAAGTTTGATAATGATAGTAACACACATTAAAGATATAATATAAAGCATTCCAAGATTTGCTGCAAACAGCCGTATCTTGATGTTACGTTTTGTGTCACAATGTAAAAAATATATTACAAGTAGAATGAGAGAAGCTTATATACTCCGTCCAAAGAGAGAATGACCTCGGTCCGCGCATAAGCGGGCAAAGTGGGGAGAACATGGCGAGATACTCAATACTGTATACGTAGATACGGCTTCTGTGGGTGGAGACCTGCGCGAAACGGACGAGTTTTCGTCCGGACTGAAGTCATTCTCTCTTTGGACGGAGTATAGCTTATATTCATACATCGTTTTAACATCGCCATTTTATTTTTGCCTTTGTAAATAATTAATAATTAAAATTTTTAGGATTTTTTTATAATATCTTGAAACAATGGCAAAATAGATAAATACTGAACAATGTTCAGTGCGGAGCATGAGAAAACCGATTAAAGCAATAGATCAAATTACTTTAAAGAAAAAATTGTTGATCAGTTTCCAGCAATGTTGAATTATTATTACGTTACGAAATTGTAAAGAGCCTATTATTTTAAATTTATATTATAAGCACGTCGATACGGTCCAAATGCTTACGAGAATGAGAATCAATGAATGTTACTAACAATAAGTCAAATTATCACATTTACATATTATGAAACTTTGCTTATTATAAAAAAAATGTGTCTGTGTCGCGAAGATGAGATCATGGTTATTTTTAGCAAAAAATTCTATGAAGAGGTTTGAAGAGAGTGAATCATCTAATTTTAAACAATTGATTTTGACAATTATTTTTGTGAACAAAACTTATTAACGAGATCTTAATTTCTCTTTAATTGTTCTTATATGAAATTGAACTTGTCGAGATTCTGTTTGTTTCAATTACTTATAATCCGCTGGCGGAATCTGTTCGATTTCTGTTCGTGGTAAACGTTGTAAAAACTGTTCTACATTATCGAATTAGGTGATTCACTCCGTCTATTAAGTATTCCCGATGTAAAATATTTGAAAATTATATTGTATATATTTTATAGAAGATAATGCTTGTGTGGCACATTCTCTTTTTCTCTTTCTACATAATATTCTCTAACAGATTATAGCGAAGAAAAATACTTAATACATCGTCGACGAAATTACATGAAACAATTAATCCAAGCAATCTTCAAGAGATATTAAAAAATTATCTAAGGAAATCAGATAGAAAATTAAGATGTCTCTTAGATGCTTAAAAAAGATTGAAAAATCAGGGCGTCTTCTGTACAAAGATCGAAAAGATTAGAACATCTTCTGCGATATTTAAAAGATCTCTTAAAAATTAAGACGCTCTTTAAATGTCCGAAAAACATTCAGACATAAAAAAGCTTCTTTTTAAACTTTTATCTAAAAAAACATTTATTCCTTATATTTGAGGAGCGCTTTTTTTGTCTAGATGAGATCTGAGAAATTAGAATATTATTTCGACGTCTTTTGGAGACTTACAAAATTGTATCTCTGTATTTATGATTGCCCGTAGGATATAACGAAGTTATTCTAAGAACGCGATGTTTATACTAGGGTCGTTATAAAGTTACACGCGATACGATACAGGGTTTTCATTCCGTTTACGTACAGTGCGAGCCGTTTTAAATATAAACGTGTGAACGTCCTCGAAAGAAAAGTTTGCGATGTTCGATTACATGATCAAACATGCAATGAGACAGAAGAGAGATAATCCTTCCACCCCAAAAAATTTTTATATCGTATATAAGCAAAGAAAACAACTATTGCAATTACATGTCTCTTTCTGTACGTTTGATTAAGAAGAGATATCTTATATATGTCAAGCGAAGTTGACATGTTGAATCTATCTCTGATACGTCATGATATATCGTTTTCTTATAGTATCTTTTTTTCTTTATCATGTACGGCACCCTGTACGTACGTGTGTACGACATGTATATGTATATATGTATGTATAATTTGTGTATTATAAGTGCTGAAATAAATCTCATAAAGTAACGAAGCAGCTGGAAATGGGGATTTACTTTTATTCCGAGTTTAGAAAATTATTAGAACCAACTCAGACTTTCTTGATAAACGTGAAGAACACATTACCGCGCTGGCTCTTGATTGACTTTTATTTCCTTTGTATGATAATATTATACATTGTAAAAAATGTATATTAAACGCACATTCTCTCTCTTACACACTCTCCCTCTCTCTCTCTTTATATATATATATATATATTCAATGTCTTAACAAAATATTAAATATGCAATACATATTTTTTATTTTAATTTTTAGTGATAAAAAATTAAAATATTATGCAAATAAAAAATGTTTATCTTACGAAAGCTATTCAATTTTTTCCAGTACGTTTGCAAATCTAGCACTTGAAACTTAGGTAGTTCTGTGTTTTCTCTTTGTATGAAAAACATTAGAAAACGGATACAATATAAAAAAAACTTATTTTAGAAAGTTGCATCAAAAATTTTTTAAATATCTTTTTATCCGGAGTTTTGAACAAAAATATCTAGAAGAATGAGGAATTTTCTTACAAGATTTGAGTAGATACTTTGACTTGAAATGGCGAACAAACGTAACGTGAGTAAGTCAAAGATGAATAAATAAACGACCGTGACTTTTTGACTCAGTTTGACCCAATCTATCTTCACCTTTCGTTTGGTCACTTACTTGTCGGATACCCTGTATATATATCTGAAAATATGTACTTCTATACTAATTTAGGTTTTATTATATTTCGTGCGAAACGAAACATTAAATTAACGCGCACGAAATTATATAACAAATTATATAGAGTTCAGTAATTATCTCAGTGATCGTCATAGAAATTATATAATATCCATATCAGATTTAAAATTGAAGATTGAAAATTAAAAATTGGAATTTGAACCAGAACAAAAAAAAATTGTATTGTCCTTATTGATAAAATTTCTATTTTAATCTTATCAATCTCAATGCACTGGTGTTAGATTTGGAACGTACAACACGCCAAATCGTGATAGAGGAGATATACACACACAAAAACAGCGTATATGTCTTACATGAATTTTGTTATATTATGTTATCCCCTCTACCATGGTTTGTTGCGCGTTCTGAATCTGATCTCTGTCTAAAACTGTGTCCGAAGCATCCAGGGAGCATGCTTTAGCGCTATTCCTCAATTGTAAATCTACCACGAGAACAGACGGTCTACTAACCCACTCGGCATGTAATATTGCTGAAATACTGTAATGTTCGGAATTTTATAAATTAAATTATTTAGATTTATCTATAAAATATATCACATTAATGTATATTGTTATATATTATTACTGTAATTGATTTTAGTTTTGCCGTCAAACAAACATCAGAAAATGATGTTTTCAGTAATATTACCGAAATATTGCTGAAATCTTTTAGCAAGGTTGCATTTGAAATGATTGCGGACATTGAAACATTGCAGAAATGTTGCAGAAACGGTCGTGAAATATTTCCACGCTATTAAAAACTATGTTGTTGTATGAAGCTTGTATTGTTGTGAGTTGAAAATCTTTATCAGATGTCAAAACAAGAAAATGGCGCCAATGACGCGGTTTGACGGTAACTACATTAACAGCTAGGGCATCTATGGGCAAATTCCGGTTTCATATTTATATACCTGGTATATAATAATATTAATAATAAAAACCGAAAAAAATCAACGAGTCATTAAGATGTTATCAAAGTTGATATTGAAACATATAAATATCTATTATTTTCTTGATAAATATAATCTGCTATCGTCATTGCGATTAATAAAAAATACATGCTCATGATTAATTATTTTAGATAAGTAAAAGCGCCACACAATCGGACTAATTATATAACACATACAATAGATTCTAAATCGAAATATAACCAGTGAAAAGATAATACAAGATAAAGGAATAAAAAAAATTTGAACATACATGATCAATTGGTTGTGTTATTTCCAAGAAAAATATATAAGCTTGGATATTTTATAATTATTTTAGTATAATGACATGTTGTTTCTTTCAAAATTTTTTTTCTTATTTTTTATGGGATTTTTTAAAGAGAAAATTAAATAAGGGACACTCAGTTGAATTTTGGTTCGATATCTTCTATCTGATAAGACACGAAAATTATTATGATTTTATAATCGTTTTAGCATTAAAATCGATCTTTTATTGATTCACAGGAATGAAAGTGGGCCAATTACACGCTAAAGTTGTTTTGGCGTTGCTTCTGCGCGATTACGAGATGTGGCAAACCAAAGAAAACGAGAGTTTTCTGGATCCACGATCAACCTTCACGGCTGCGGGTAATGGAATTAATTTGCACTTCAGAAAGATCATAACACGTGCATCAAGTTAAATAATTCTTTAAGTTAAAAATAAGAAATGCAAGATAATAATCCATAAGAATGACAAGATGAATCTGATTCGTTCTCACAAAAGTACAGACTACAAGCTTGTGTAGTGAAACATGTATTCCTAAAGACATCCGTGAAAATATATATGTCATGCAGAATATTTTCTAGATGTCTCGGATCAATCTCTAAAGATTTCATACAATCTTAACGATAGAAAACAAAATCTCTTAGAATAATTGATTTTTATTATAATTTTATGATACATGTTTGTCATATCTATAAATGATCGGGGAAATATGGGGATATGTTATTGGAATATCTTTCGAATGGTTATCTGAACAACTTTTTATTAAATAAGTATTTAATTATTATTATTGCGAAAAAGCTATGTTTGTTAAGCAAAGTACTTTTTGCTAATCTGGAGATTGTTTTTCCCTAACTAGATGTATATTGTAATCGTAAAAAAGAGAGATTTATATATGTTAGATGATTTTATATATAAGATTCTCCTACCCCGGATTACGATCTTTCCGCTATGCTTTCTTGAATCCTAAATTCCTGGTTCACGATTTTATACAACTTTTAGCAAATATGGTCTATGAGAATGCGATCTATGTGTATATCATTATTTGTTACTATTAAGAGCGACTTATGCACTTGTACGTATATGCATATGTAGGCTCGACATGATTTTATGTTACTTCTTTTCTTATATTTTTACTCTCTTTTGTTACTCATAAGAAGCAAACTAATCGATGATTACCATAAGAACTACAGGAATATATAGAAAAAATAAATAGAGAAATTAAAATATTGGAACGGTGCGATTACTAAAACAATTATAAATGAATAATATCATCTTCTTATCTCGAAAAAACATAAGCATTTTTGTTGTTAAACGACTAGAATTTTTATTCGTTCTTTGATTTCTTTTTTTATTCTTTCTGTTATTATTTTTTCTTCGAAATATATATATAGAAAATAAAGATAAAAGAGATAAAAATAAAAGAAATAAAGATAAAAGAGGAATAAATATATAAAAAGGTGTAGGGTGAGGAGAGCGGGGAAAATAAGTTTTTCGTAAATATATATATCAAGAAATATTTTCTCGAGTAAAATATTTACGATTCGATAAAAAACGATCCAACAATATTATCTATACTCTACGAAAGAATGTTCTCAGTTTTTCTTACGTTCATTATTCAATGAGATTATTAACTTGAAGATCACTGGATGTTAAAAATAAATAACACATCATAGTAAGTATAATAAACATGCCATTATCGACACTGTTATATCGATGCAAATATGCACATGTCGAGATATATTTAACGAGTGATTGTGAGCTAAAAAGAAATTCCTTCATGCAGCACGTCTGACACGACTATATGAATATTTTCGTTGTGACATTTTCCCTCCTACTATTTATTATCAGATGCTTTTTTTCCTCCTACTATCTACATAGTATCAGATGCACAGATCGAATCTATCGAATGAAATATATATAGGATGTCAAAAAATTTCAGTATCGAAACCTCGTAGTAGGAAAACGAAGAATTAATCAAGATCTGCGCGTAATTTCTTTTTAATCGTTTTCTAAGTAGAGTTCAAAGTTCGGCCAATTATGAGTTGCGATTGAATCGTCCGCTCATTTCTGCTTCAATGATTTTATAATTTTATACGATACCTAGTATATCAGAAAAAAACATGATTCATTTGATAAATGACTTGGCAAAGAGCTAGAACGATACACTGCGTATATAAATTTTTACTCTCACAGTTTTGCGCAGCATCTGATGTCGAAAATGTGCCAGCTGTAAGGGTAGCCGAGGGTGTTGAGCGGGTTATGTAAAACCGCAGGGTAAAATCAGGATATTGAAAGCGTAAGGGATTTTGCAAGAACTGTTCGTAGACAATAAACGGTTGATTTGCTCAAACATTTTTTCTGCTTTTTCGTAAAGAAAAAATGTGTGTGTTTATTTTTGTTTAAATATATTTATAGTTAGAGAAGTATCAGAAATTATTTAATATTAAGAATTTTTTTATTTATTAATATAAACTGTCTGCGCCATGTCACAAAACAAGGGCTAATAGGACTTTAAATATTTATACAGTCGGTTATCATTTTCTGAAAGATAATTTTAAAAAAATGTACATTTATTGTCTGTGATTGAAATGTAATACTACAACAAATATAACTAATAACAAATATTCGAAATTAATTTGTTTAAAGTTTATAGCATACTTCGTTACTTCTTATTATGTCGTGTGAAAAATTCAAAGACAAATAGTAAATATAATTAATATTTATATATAAATTGTTATATATAAATTGTGTAATTAAAAACTTTTTAAACTTAAAATTAAAAATAATGTTGAAGACAAGTAATGTGGAAGTAAAGTATGGAGGTATGTAAAATAAATTATATAAATTATGTCAATAACTTATTCTGAAGATTAATTAGACATTTAACAATTCAATCTAGAAGATCAAGATTACGATAGAAGGTGGATATACACAAAAAAATATTATTCTATTGCTAAGTAAAATGATTACTCAGTTTGTTAAGCAAAGTACTTTTTGCTTATCTGGAGATTGTTTTTCCCTAACTGAATATATATTATAATCGTAAAAAAGAGAAGTTTATGTTAGATGATTTTATATATAAGATTCTCCTACCCCGGATTACGATCTTTCCGCTATGCTTTCTTGAATCCTAAATTCCAAGTTCACGATTTTATGCGACTTTTAGCAAATATGGTCTATGAGAATGCGATCTATGTGTATATCATTATTTATTACTATTAAGAGCGACTTATGCACTTGTACGTATATGCATATGTAGGCTCGACATGATTTTATGTTACTTCTTTTCTTATATTTTTACTCTCTTTTGTTACTCATAAGAAGCAAACTAATCGATGATTACCATAAGAACTACAGGAATATATAGAAAAAATAAATAGAGAAATTAAAATATTGGAACGGTGCGATTACTAAAACAATTATAAATGAATAATATCATCTTCTTATCTCGAAAAAACATAAGCATTTTTGTTGTTAAACGACTAAAATTTTTATTCGTTCTTTGATTTCTTTTTTTATTCTTTCTGTTATTATTTTTTCTTCGAAATATATATATAGAAAATAAAGATAAAAGAGATAAAAATAAAAGAAATAAAGATAAAAGAGGAATAAATATATAAAAAGGTGTAGGGTGAGGAGAGCGGGGAAAATAAGTTTTTCGTAAATATATATATCAAGAAATATTTTCTCGAGTAAAATATTTACGATTCGATAAAAAACGATCCAACAATATTATCTATACTCTACGAAAGAATGTTCTCAGTTTTTCTTACGTTCATTATTCAATGAGATTATTAACTTGAAGATCACTGGATGTTAAAAATAAATAACACATCATAGTAAGTATAATAAACATGCCATTATCGACACTGTTATATCGATGCAAATATGCACATGTCGAGATATATTTAACGAGTGATTGTGAGCTAAAAAGAAATGCCTTCATGCAACACGTCTGACACGACTACTGATGAATATTTTCGTTGTGACATTTTCCTTCCTACTATTTATTATCAGATGCTTTTTTTCCTCCTACTATCTACATAGTATCAGATGCACAGATCGAATTTATCGAATAAAATATATATAGGGTGTCAAAAAATTTCAGTATCGAAACCTCGTAGTAGGAAAACGAAGAATTAATCAAGATTTGCGCGTAATTTCTTATCGTTTTCTAGCGTTCAAAGTTCGGCCAATTATGAGTTGCGATTGAATCGTCCGCTCATTTCTGCTTCAATGATTTTATAATTTTATACGATACCTAGTATATCAGAAAAAAACACGATTAATATCATTTGATAAATGACTCGGCAAAGAGCTAGAACGATACACTGCATATATACATTTTTACTCTCACAGTTTTACGCAGCATCTGATACGATTCACACGCGAAATTGACACGGAATGTTTTTTTTTGCCGATTTTTGCACATAATTTATAGTGAATTCCGTACAAAATAACAATTAAAACAGAATCTTATGCAGAAAAAACTTGTAGATAAAATTCACGCGAAGTTTTATAATTTAAACCAAGTTTTACACGAATAAGTCCCCTGGAGAAGAAGTTCTCCGAAGAAGATTTGCCCAAAATGGCAATATTGATTGACTGCGTTCTTTTGGATATGCTCTTGGTATTCTCGTCACTTTTCGCGACGCTTTACTTATGGCTAAAGTGGAAACACTCCTATTGGCAAAGGCGTGGCGTACGCACGTTACCTGCACATTGGTTCTTCGGTCATTTTAAGGACGCGATACTTATGCGTAAACCAGCGGGAGTGGTCCTCGGTGAGCTGCATCGGCAAGCCGCGGATGAGGATGACATAATCGGAATCTATATCCTACACAAGCCGTACCTACTCGTGAGAAATCCGGAACTGATCAAGCAAATTATGATCAAGGACTTTCACTTGTTCCCAAATCATCATTTCGACGGCAGAAGCAATTCCGACAAAGTTAGCAATTGGAGTCTCTTCACTATCAAGAATCCCGAATGGAGGCAATTAAGGTAAATTTGCGTACATGCATAGGTTGTCGATTCAACATACTTAATTATTTTATTCCGCTGATTCATTTGTTTTAAATTATTCTTATATTATTATTTCGTTTTCGGACATAATTATCAAGAGACTTTGCTTCAGGATAAAAATGTCACCGGTGTTTACGAGCGGCAAACTGAAAAATCTCTTCTTGCTAATGCAAGAGGCCGGGGAGATGATGAGGGAACATCTGCGTGATCAATTCGCGGATGACTCCAAGATCATGTCGATACCTCTCAAGGAGATGTTCTACAAGTATACCACCATTGTAATATCCTCCTTGGCGTTCGGGATTCGGACGAACTGTTTCGACACGCCAGCACCGGAATTTTTCGTAAACTGTAAATAAAATATAAAAACATTAAAGCGAGCTTTATAAAGACACAATTAATCAACGAAAGTTTGAAGATATGTACCAAATTTAAAAATATTATATGGTATACATTATATCATTCTATTTAAAGCGATTTTATCGTAATGTATATCCCTTTTGTTCTTTCACTTATTTAGCACTTAAGGCATTTGAACGAACCTTTTTGAGAACCTTGCAATTCTTTTTCCTATTCTTCATGCCGGATATTGGAAAATATCTGGGTAATAAGATGCTCGGTGATTACACGGATTATTTCCGTAAGGTTTTTTGGGACTCTATGGACAGTAGAAGCGTCACGAAGACAAAACGGAGAGATCTGATCGATTCTCTTTTACAATTGAAAAATGAAAATTCAGACGACACTCATTTCCGTAAGTATTCAACTACTGTATATATTCGACATTAATTAATAATATTAAACATAAAAAAAAAACCGTGATTTGATTCTGATATGGAATAAATTCAAAATTAAAACTGGCAAAATTAAGAACTTC